ATTAGTGCGCTTTCTTTAATTTTACGTTTTTTTGTGGATTGTTCTTTTGTTAAAATTGTGGAATTATTCCATTAAATTTTATGGCAATTATCAAATGCATGTTGACAAATGTGTGATTTATGATATTCTCTGTTTTTTATGTATGATTGGTGTTCTTTGAGTCTTTTGTGTAATGGTCTTGAGGTTTCTCCTACATAAAATTTATTGCAGCCGCAAGGAATTTTATAAATTACATTTTTTGTATTTTAAATTATATCATAAGGTTTTGTTACTAAAATTTTACTTCTGATTGTATTTTCAGTTTTGAAGATAGTCCTAATATTAAATTTTTTACCTACTCGTTTAATTTGATCTGAAAGTCCTGGAATAAATGGAATGAAAAGGTTTATTTTGATTTTGATTGAAAGGAAATAGGTTTATTTTGATTTTGTTTTTGATTTTGTTGTTCGTGGGAATTCAATTTCGTTAAAACATTTTTCAATAAAACAATTTAGATAATTATTGAAATTTAGAATTTCTTTTATAAATTGTTCTTCTTTGGAAAAATTAGATTGATTACAAATTATTTTTGCTCTATCATATAGACTTTTTACGTTACCTTTTTTAACCATTATCGGGTGATTTGAGTCGAAATTCAAATATCGGTTAGTTGAAGTAGGTTTTCTATAGACCAAGGTTTCGAAATTGTCTAAATTTTTGTGAATGTTCGGGAATGGTGATTTTGTTCTTTTTCAATATTGAATTTAATTGTTGGTTCTTTATTATTCAGATAAGATAAAACTTCATCAAGTTTTTGTTCGCCATGACTGTAAATGGAGATCACGTCATCAATATAGCGCCACCAAATTATTGGTTTAAATTTGTAATTATTAATAAAAGTTGATTCGAAATTTTCCATAAATAAATTACTGAAAAGTGGTGACCCCATAGCCATTCCAATATTTTGTTGATAAAAATTGTCATTGTATTGAAAGTAAGTTGACTTTACACATATTGTTAAAAGTTCAATAATGGTGTTAATGCTTAGTTGTGTGCGGTCTTTAAAATTGATTTGACCTGATTGCAAAGAAATAACAGGGCAGAGCAATTAGCCTGAGCAGAGTTTTTTTAAGGAATCGCCCAGTACTTTTCTAAAGGTGAATGAATTAGAGCACACTTTAGTTTATAACTGGGCTTAGTTAAGTAGCTTATCAGGCGCTTGTAATTTGCGGATTGCTCTATTGCAAACCATGCAGAATAACCCCCAACAAACGACATTGTTCCATAAAATTACCACTCGCGTTTATTCAAGTACTCATAAAATTCACATTACCGGACCTAATTCCTTTTAATTTCATTGCTTTATCTTAGAGCGTTACAGGTTCACCTCGGAACTATCAAATTCCAGATTTGACTTGGGAAACATAAGTTCAGCTAATTGAACAATGCTTAGTAACATTTTGTTAAAGCTCTGTTTGCTATTTCCACTGGTCGATTTTGCAGTCAACTTTCACAATGGAAAATGTTATGAAGCTTCATTTAAACTTTGTCTTCAAAAGCACCGATGAACAAATCAGCATAATGAATATTTTGGGCAGTAGCTAGCTAGTCAATTCTTGGTTTAAAAAGCAGTGGCGAATCGCGATTGAGCTTTCTTATTTATTCAAGAATATAAATGTGCCGCTTAAGCATTCTGGATACATTCGAGCATTTTATTGGGACACACTTTTTGTAAATTTTATGATGGCTAAATCACTTTTTCCTGGAAACATGGTAAAATGGGCCCCTAGAGAACTTTCCGCGTTTAATACTCGTTGCCAGACTGAACATTCTCATGCGGATGCATATTTTACCGTTTAATAAAGGAATGTTTTGGAAATTCATAGATGCCCCAATATCAAAAGACACCCAATGGGTATCCAAATTTTTAATTTCCTTTAAACTGCGTTAATCAAACAATTAGAACAAGAAGTTAAGTGGCAGGAATTGCATTATTCAGTTCCTTTTGATTTATTGCGCAATCAAATCCTAATTTGGATTAAATCACATTTCATTGCTTCGTTGCAGACTAGACGTGAAAGGATGCAAACAAAATCTTACATCGCACCCTGCGCGAAATCGCAGCTCATCAAATGCCTTCCAGCTAGCACCGTATTCTTCGGCAGCATCGAGAGGGATTCTGGAAAGAAGAACATCAACCACTCCAGCATCGACGTTAAAAATTGGTCGATCTGTATCAAGGGAAAGCATTCGGTCGATCCATCACTGTACATGCCCTTGCCTCAATGCTCCGGTAAGTTATTTGAAAGTCCATTTTGCACGCGACTATTACTTCAATTAGCTCTATTATCTTCTACTAATCTTGTTTTTACTGCTCTATATAGTCAGAGGCCTTGAAACAAATGCGATAATGAAATAGTTGATAGTAAATAGTAAAGTTTGCCTGTTTAGAAAAAATTTCACATTCAGTCAATGGAGCAAATGGCATGATCGTAAATAGTGAGAACTAATTCAAAATCTTCATTTGAAAATCGAAGTGTTTGTAACTGAGAACAAAGTAAAGTTCAATATTTAATTGCTTCATAATATAACCGTCGGAATTTTAGCTGCTATTAATTTCAGCCATTTGCCAATTTCAACGCGTTTCTGTGCATGAAGACTGTAATTACCGTAAATAGCGGAATACCGAAAATTTTAATATCAAGCCAATGAATTCCCCGGCTATGGCTGTGTATTGACAGTAAAATGCTTTATACAGCATATATACATACATTCGTAGTTAAAAATAATGTCTCTTTGGTACAATTGTTTAGAAATTTAAGCACGCGCTCTTTCAAGCGTATGAAACCAATATAAAAATAAAACATTCGGACTGGGTAAGCGTGCACAATGCATATTTGCTCGAAAAAGAATTGCAAAATATTAAACCCACTGCGCTCAAGCTAAGAAAATATTATTCCTGATTTATTTATTTGAATTTGTCCTTTTTCCGTTGCCTTACGGAAATGTACCATAAAATCGGATGCTCTTTGATAAAGATTCTTAATGTAAACTGAAAACTTTTTCCAATTCCAATACTCGCTTATCTTTGTTGTTTGTATGCTGGTTACATATCAAGGAATGCAATTCATCATAATGTGTACAGATTTCGCAATGCATGGTCATCTTTCGACTCACATAAATAATACTTTATATCCACAAATCATCGGAGATTTACTGCGGTGTTGAATATGAGTTCAGGTCATATTAAAACACCACCTGCTTATCTTCCTTTAAAGCGCTTCTGAGGATGGCAATGATTTCGTCTCAGAAAAATTAATGTTGGAAAATATCCCAGATATAAAACATTAATCCAGCTATTTCAAGCAGATTAAAATCGAGGATTATCAACCATCAATAATTAAAAAGAAAAATTTTATCATTTGCCGCACCGTCCAAAGCAAGAAATATGTCCTCATACAATACAGAATTAATCTGGTTTTTATTGCCAGCGAATGGAAAAGGAAAAAAGGTTTTGTGTGACAAGCACCTAATTGGTTATACGTTACGTACTGTTAAGTCGAAAAGCTATAGGAACTGCAGGAGGAAAACGAAATATCCACAAAGGCGAACAAATAGAGCCACAATATGCGAGGCTCGAATTTATATTTTTTGCTGCCATTGTTAGACATATTATTGGCTTCTATGTACTTTACAAATTCATTTGTTACTTTATAGAAGGGGAATGTGGCAGTCTAGGTTACTATATATAGCAGGATTTCAGATAATTAATTGCGCTTAGTCGGTGTAATAGTTTAGCACTTTTTAATAGAAGAATCAATTTAAAGCATATTCCTCTTTCCACTATAAGCCAGCAGAATTTACATGCTGAAACTGCGAATCTTCAAGCTGGTAGCTGTATTAAAAGCCTTTGGAAATATTGCAATCTAGATCCGCGCCACAAATACTCGACTTTTATTAAAGTATTCTTGTGTCAAACGGCTCATGAAATTTGCGCCTTTACAGTTCACGATTGCATTGAGATCGAACTACTATTCCACACTTCAACGGTTTGTGTAGAAGATGGCAATCTGCCATTTATAACACAACAAATACGTTTCCACTGAAGGGCACATCTGGGTTTTATCAATTTTTCAAAAAGTCAATAAATATGATTTGAATTCAAGCTTTGATTCGCCACATATACGTGAAACATTTTTTCGTAAACAACCAAACGATTACAAGTCATTCCACTTTGCTTGCACTACATGTTCAAGGAATTATTGACTCTGAAGCGCAAAAGTTCCTTAGACATTTTTAACTTCACTAAAACGTTTTCGAGCGAAAACAAGAAAATTAATTTTACATGTTTAGAAGTGGAGAAAATATGTAAGCCCATTAGGAAGCAAAGTACTTTCAAAACTTTGAGGTTTCACTTGTGCAAAATCAAATCAACTGAAAATCTGCGATTATTCCAGTAAGGAGCTTAAACTTAGAAGCCTTACGACAATGTTGCTGAATTACTCTATTCGCTATTATTCGTGTATCACTGTCACATATTTTATTTTATTAGATCCCTCGATCGCCAAAATTTAGGTATTTAAAGGTAAGCTTGTGCTCTGGCAGAGTTCGATTTATTAGGTAGATGCAGCACATTGGCTTGTGGCAACATTTACTCTAAACCTAGAACGCTTTTTTAATTAATCAAAGCATTTGACTAATTAAAATGTTTGTTAAGGACATAATATTCTGAATTACCGCAATCCAGCTATGTTAAATACCACCGAGATATAATCTCTAAAAACTTACCACTGGAATTTTAAAGCGCTGAAATTAATTTTAAGTTATAAAATTGCGTTGTGCCAGGAAAACTTGCCGCGGTTTCAGAATATGGAGGTCATTTAACTTAATTAATCGAATAATGTTTAGGAATTGTGTTAATAGCTGTAGCTATTCACACTCGAGTCATGTGATATAAAATCGAGGTAATTCTTTGGTTTACAAAATGTTCAATATTGCTCAACTTTAGTGGCCTCAGGATCCTTTAAGCCACTCAGCTCAAAAAGCGATTAATCTAAGCAAACCCTCTATCAAAGCCTCATAACGAATATGTATAAATAATTCGCTAACGTTTATTATTACCCTGATATGAACAGAACAACATTAAATGAATAGCGTTTGCTAAGAAATGTATTGAGCAACGTGCGCTCATTATTTCCCGGCTGGTCGCTAATTGAAATTTGATTAAGCAATGAACTCAGCTTTTAATACTGATGCTTGGAAATATTTGAATAGACCTGTAATGGATATAAGGATGAATATTATCACCATAGCATTATATCGAAAATTATTTGCAAATTGGATGTTCAAAAGCCTTAATAAAACTGGCATTGTAGTTTCACAACACAAACTCCCTAGCGTGAAATTGCAATGAACTACGTCGACAAAACCTATGTATGACTGACATGAATGTACGTTCAATTTGATAAAATTTGCGAAATCGCTCCTGCTGATCGTTAGGTTTACCATTCATTAACGATCAGTGGAATGAATGACCGAGGAGGATTAAAAATGAACCCAAACAGCTTTTTGTACATAATCCATGCCGCTATACCCGTATGCTAAAGGTCCTCATTACATAACTTCAGATGTACGTTCCTTCCCCAAATTACAATTTACTTTTATGCATCATGTGCTTTTACAATGGAGACGGCCCCTTGCTGGATGTAAACCTATACGCTAGAACTGTTTTCCTAGTCTAAGCAAATTTTTTCTTCGCACTTTGTATCTATTAGCTCTTACTCACTATTCTGCACCCTTTCTTCTTCTCTTCATTCAACTTACACCACCACAACTTTTTTGTACCAATTCCAAGCAACGAATCTGGTTACTTTTTAACATTGTTTATGCACATTTAACTATTTTAGCCCATTGAAATTGTTTGTTATCATAGGTAGTACATGTGAGAAACACTTATTAGGAAGTTTTTATTATGTGAAGCAAAGTTACGTAGCTGATTTTTGGAGGGTGCGACTCGTTTGATTAAATGAAATATTTAACGAATTGGTACAGAAAATCAGTGTTCTATATTATTCCTTAAGGATTCCTTCCGCAACAAAAATCATTTCCATGTCATTTCATCTTTAGAGATCATTTTAGTTAAAGTTAAGCAGAAAAATGTCGGGGACTTTCTCAGTTGTATGAACCAAAATTCATCTATTTTAATTACTGTAATAGATTTAGATCAGTACGTCCATAGACTCATCAAAATTCAAAGGAGGAACTGTTGATGTGGAAGTTATATTTACTGCGAAAAAAACAAGAAAAGGCTTCTCAATTGCTCAGTTAAACCGTCCTTTTTAGGGAAGTTCAAAAAGTATTTTCATATATTTCTAGTCTATTGCTTCGCTTCCGTTGTGAACGTGAACTTTACTGAGGAGTCTATTCTTAGTCTGTGCGCTAAAGACATTTCTCAATAAGCAGAAGTTTATTGCGCTTAGAATCCAAGAAGAAACTGTTCATTGTCTCGAATTATAGTTTTGATTGGGTTAATTGTTGGAGAAAAAATGAAGTTAATAAGTCAGTAATTTATTTGTCTGCAAGAGCAATCTTGCTTCCAATATTCCGTATAGAAAATCGTTTGAAGGAATACGAGTTCAACTGATGAGAGGTAATTTCAAGGGGCTAAGATTTTTAAAGGAATGGCTAATGAAGCAAATTGTTGACCGCAGTTGTCCGTGACATTCCAGGTATCGTGCAGTTCATGTCCAGTCGCTCCTGCGGCAATAGTGACTACTTTACCAGGCTCCAGGATAATCCGACAAAGTTCCCAACCTGAAGCATCGGCTGCCCCCTGCTGTGGGGCCAGCTGTGTCCTTCATGTGGGGGCGGCCCATCCATCCACTTCTCTTAGACAGCTAAGAGACCATGAATCTGGAGGCATAGCGGGAATAGCGGCTGATTCTCTAAGAATCAACGGTGCTATGCGAAATTTTCGGCAGGTATGACTGATGCGAGTGCCATTTAATCCTTGATTAGCACACACCATAGTTTGCCAACTGAGAAAACCCACAAACTATTCACACGAAAACAATCAAGGGTTCATAAGACGTGGCTGCAATGGCGAATCCAGGATTTTGATCTGTGGGGTATTTGATATTAATTTCTGATCGAAATTGTTTTTTAATCAGATATTTTTTAAAACCGTTTAAAAAATGTGAAATTTCTAATTATGAATACCAAATTTCAACATTACATTTGCGTTATTTACGAAATTATAAGGAAAAAACGGACACAAAACTAAAATTTTAACAGCCTGTATCTTGGAAACTGTGCCCTTTGGGACTTTTTATCATAAAATTACCTAAGAAATCACGTCTTTGAATATTGCCGCGACTTTTTTAAACCTCCTGATGTATAGACGGATTGCAGTTTTACAGTAGCAGTAATGGAGCAGTTTTTTCTGTTTTGGCCAAAAAGGAGGAAAAGTAGCAGACAGTTTTTTAACCATCCAAGTTTACTGAGTAATTAGTGCATGAATTCAGAAAAAAGTTAGCTAATCCTATCTGCTCAAGTCATACTTGCTGTTTTTAGCATGATTTTTGAACCCCCTTATATTAAATTTAAAAAGTGATATATAAAATATTATTAAGTTATTATTAAAGTGCATTCAAATTTTGGAGTCGTGACGATGAAATAGAAAATATTGTTCTGAGTCTTCCACTGTGGATTCGCCACTGCGGCACTTTGTTCTTGCTTTTGTGGTAAACATCCTCAGAGACAATTCTCAGACATCCTCAGAGACAAACAAAGATGGTGTGCCACGGCCTATAAACCCAAAGTTGTTGAAAAACATCGGTACTGAAAGCCTACTTAATCAGGAGTAATACTGTGTTAACACAAATTGGGCGTCATTTTTTCTCTCAAAACTGGGATATTTGGATGTGTTTAAATGCGTCTCATTGGTGAGCTATCGGGTGTGCGTTTTCCCTTATTAACACTCTCTAACACACATGTAGGCAACCGCAGGGAAGTAAACATGTTTGAGGTACAAATCTGGCACTCACGGAACCTCATCAGCTACCTAAACTCTAACCAGTAGATTTAGGAATGTTTTCCGGGCTTTGAACGTTTCGTCTACAACTGCGGTGGACATTATCAAAGGCGATGAGGCAGTGGGCG